GCAAAGCTGCAAAGAGCCGTCTGCAAGTAGACTACAAAGCAGCCTCAAAACCGGTTTTCTCAAGCAAAAACATTAAAAATAAATAAATAAAGTTTAAACTTATTTCTTTCCTCATCCTCTTCTTTTCTTCTTCCCTTCTCTCTTCGTCTCCCTTTCTCTATTCTCCCACCTCCCTTTCTCTCTCTCCTCTTCTCCTTTTTCATTGTTAAGTGTAGGTTCCTTTTGGCTCACATTCCCATTTATTTCTTCTTCCCACACTATTTTGCCTAAACTTCAATCTTACGTTGATTTGGCCAAAACCACCGATGTAGTCGGTCAGTCAGTGTTGCAAAGTCTTCCAAAACCACCAACGAAAAATTGACTTCTCAGTGATTGGTGTTGATTTGAGCCCAACTGACCAATGTGAACCCCTACTCAAAAATATGAGAGTATTGTCCAAAAGAGAGACATTTTTTCTTTGAGAAGAAACCATTAACTTTTTATTAAAGAGTATAAAAAAGGTTGGAAAGGGAAGACCAAAGGGATTTACAAAAAGGTATCCAATATTGGCATAGATAAGGGATCGAAAGTAATCTTTTTAACAAGATACAAACTTCTAATTTGTTTGATCATTATTCTCGTAATAATATTTATATGAATTGGGAGGCTTTCATTTTCTAACGAAAACCTTTTGAAAGGATACACCAATTAGTACTCAGAATTTAGAAGTAACAAAAATGACAAGATCAAAAACATCTATGAAATATATATTACCTAGGTGCGTCCAATGTTCTAAACAACAGGAAGTAACAAAAATGATAATATTCCCCAGTCGAAAGATACACCAATTATCATTAAAAAAAATATATTAAAACGAACACACCGTGACACCATCAAGATTTCTCTACAGAGTTTTGATATGTTCAAATGTTCGCCTATTTCTTTCCAACAACTAGAAATTTTTAACATCAATGACACATACCAATCCAATGATCTACCACTATGAAAATTGGAACCAAATGTTCACATTGACAGATAGGCATGCAATTATGTTATAACACATGGGTAAAAATACATCACACACAATATTCATTATCCAGAAAGAAGGAAATAAGACCATATAACAATAACATTAGAAGTTGAAGTAAACAAAAAAACAAAGCATAAGATAGAAACTTACTCGGCTCCACATGATGGGCAAGTTTCCATGAAGGAGTTCCCATGTAATTCAGCAAGTTTCTCTCTTGGTATACCAGATCGAAGATGGAGGCCATCAATATTCTATAACAAAATATATCGGTGAGCAAGGAAAAACAAAATCTTGGTGAAAAGAACGCATTTAAAATTATTGATAGCTAATGAGAGTTAATAGTTAAAACCATAAGAACTTAAATGATGAACTCATTTAAACCTTTTTCCACAAAGAGAATGATGTCCCTTGTCTATTTAGTATTTTTTATAAACCCAAAAAACAACTAAGAAAAACCTCAAACTTTTGATTATGTAACTTTTCACCAATGAATGAAAATTTGTCACTTCTAAAAAACAAGAAAGAGGAAAAAACCTGGTATTTCTATAACACGACACCAATAATAAACTCAATATAAAAAAAGAAAGACTTTTCCCCAGTTGTAGGAGTTCCAAATATCCAACATTTTTTGTTTTTGTTCTTTTTTTTTAATATGAAACTGAAAAATGTCCAACAATATGAAATATAAGCAGCCAATGGAAAATCCCTTGATCAAGATGTCATTCAAAAATTCCTGCGCCCTTCCACTCTTGAAAAAACTAGTATTCCTTTCCAACTAAATATTTGCAACAATCGCGAAGGTTCTAAGGTCCAAACCCAAAAATGCCCAACGCTTAGAGGGAGGGATCAAAACGGAGTCTGAAAATTTTAATTCAGCAGATGGGCTGCAAAGAAAGATGTCTCTGATGGCTTTGAATCCGTCAATTTGTATGCCATGTAGGACGGCAGTCAGCAAGTGAAGGCCAAAGCCATATATTTTGAGTTCAAATTTTGTGGGTAATAGACAAAGGTCCGAAACAAAATGTGTTACTTCCCTTGAGGAAAAAAAGATGAGGAACAAAGCTAGATCGCCTACCATTTAGACAAAAAAAAATTTCACACCGGAGAAAATCACCTATCCAAGCTCTCCTTGCACAATACCTTATCAACATGATTTTTTTTGTTTACAAGAAACACCAACAAATCATTGACAATTGAAAAGTTAGAAGTGAAGACTATATTCCCCAAAATTGGAAGCAACAGATATTAATAATTTGGAAAGTAATTACGTAAAAGCAACCCGACCAAAAATTAATCTCACAAATTGAAAATTTACGAAAACTTCGGAGAGAGAACTCCAAGAGGCTATATGAAGCTTTATCATCACAAATCTTTCTTCCCAAAGAACGCATTTGTTACAAATAACTTTTGATTTCTTTCCACCCAAATACCCCAAACTACTGATTTAACCATGTTGATACATAAAACTCTTGCTTTCCCTTTTAAAAGATGCCCACAGAGAAGATTAAAAGTATTGCTTTTAGCCTTTAAGTCACAAACCCACGAAAATCCAAATTCCAGATATCTGAAAAGAGGCCTCCCACACCATCCTGCTGTACTTAAATTAAAAGGTACATGATGAAGATCCTCCCCCAGCCTTGAAACCTAAAGAACAGCAGCTCGGATTCAAGCACCACCCATCTATTTTCTTTGAATCTCATCCACTGTATATAAGCTTTCCGAAAATAACCAGCCAAATCAATATGCATTTTCAAAATTTCTTTAAAAGTGGTCTCCCTACCTATCCCTTTATAATCCTTAATGACTTATTTTGCAATAAGAATCTCATCTAAAATTTATCTTCCAACCACAAAAGCTCTTGACACCTAGAAAATCATAATCATATTTGGTAATACTCTTCTCATCTTTTCTGCAAAGACCTTAGAGATGATATTATAATATTTCTCATTCAACTAATGGGGCAAAATCCTTAATGTTCCCAATATTAGACTTCTTGAGAATTGTTAAGGATGAATAAACCACCACTCAACCCAAAAGCTTAAATTGATGGGTTGAATCATTTTTATTTTTTTTTTATAAGAAACTTTGTATTAACAAAAAGGCAACATACAGCCTAGGGGCAGGGGGGAAGAGAGATCCCCCAAAAACTACGGAATAAAAGCTCTCCAATCTTACATAATCGATGAGAGACTATAATTACAAAATAATTTTCGTCTATGACACCACCAAGAAGTGTGTAATTGAACCGTATTACAAACGCTTTCAAAAGAAGAGATCTCCTCCTCAAAAATTCTATTGTTTCTTTCCATCCATAGGTTCCAAAAGAGAGCTCTAACTGCACGTCCATAGGATTTTAGCTTTTCCTTTAAAAGGCCACCCTTGCAAAGCTTCAGTCATCCATCCGTCAGTAGTCTGGGGCAAGAACCAAACAGATGTGCATCTCTCATTCATCATGCTTTGGATTACACTGTCTCACAAAATTTGGTGAAAACCTTTAGGAGATCATGCTTAATAACCTCCTAGGCTCCTAGCTCTCTTGAAAACATGACATTGAGAAACTATTCAAGGCGAGCTTTAGAACCATCAAAACTAAAATCCACTCTCCTTAGACCCATCAAAACTATTCAAGGCTGTATCTTGTTCAACAATTTGTTTGTCTTTTATTTAAAAATTTCCAACAGCTATTTTTAGAGAAAATAGCCGTTAGAAGCAGCTGCCAACCATCTAACTAATGGGTTTGTTGACAATTTAGCCATCAGAGGCTAGAGATGTTGGGGGTTGTAGTTTTAACCAACCTAGCTGTTAGGTTGTCATGTTTCAATTGTTCCAGCACCTATAAAAGGCTTGTAGATGCAGATGTAAAGGCAATTCAGGCTTCATAAATTTTCTTGAGGTTTTCTTCACACCAAAATGGTTACTTAAAGATTTTTTTGACCTGACATAATGAGACACCACTCTAAACCTTAAATGAAAGGCATGTGGCAAATGGAGGGGGTATACAAGGCAAAATAAGATAACACTCCACCTTTGATCTCCTTGTTGATATCCAAAGATCTACCATCTTCGGTGACTACATTACTTTATTTTGTTTTAAAATATTACAATAAAAAGATCATCACCATTTTCACCAGCTTGAATCTGATCGTCCTCGGTGAGTCATTTTTTTAAAATAAAAAAAAAGGGGTCTCAATAAGTTAATACTATATAGCATCCGAAACCTTGAAAAAATAATGCACTACCTGACTAATGATGAACTTCAATATATCAGCCTTCTCTAATTCAACCAAAGACATATGAGTCAAGCTTGGCATTGCACGATGAAATGGCAGTGATGCTTCTGGTAAGGCTTTACCTTCACGCTGGAGAATTTTATAATGTTACTAATTTATCTGTTTATAAGTCACGTCATGTTTTTTTCTAAACAAGAAACCTTTTAGTGATATATGAAAAGGATTAAAGGAAGAAAATTTTCAATGATACTCCCAAAAGGAGTGAAAAAAGAAAGGAAAAAACAGCAAATCAATAACAAAATTCCAAGAGAAAAAAAACATTCATGAATCTAGCATCTAGAAACTTGACAAAAGGCATGCTAAAAGAATCTAAATAACTTCCTTCAAGTTGGGGTAAGATCAGAAACACACCGGTGGAATCAACCATCACATCAACAATTTGAGAAGAATCCATAGCTCCAAAATTTGCAAAAAAAATCGGTTGACTTACACAAAACCATCTTCAAGGATTTTTAACATTTCTTTTTAGATAAGAAACTGAAAAATGATGTATTAACTACTCAGAAAGGAGACAACCTAAGGGAGATGGTTCAAGGATTTTTAACATCAGACTCAAATTTGATCCAAACAGGAGAACTCTTAGAATTCCAGAATGACCTTTCGTGGAGAAAAAACATCCTTGGACAAAGGAAACTTTTAATGACCCTTGGAAACTCAATATGCTTGGATGGCCCAAGTGATCAATGAGAGCCAATGTAAATAGCAAAGGACTTAGAGGGAATGGGTTCAAACCATGGTGGCCACCTACCCAAGATTTA